GTGCAAAGTGCTTAAATAATATCAATGTCGTTATTGATTTCCAGCATCAGGAGGCTGCCAAGGCAGTCGGAGGAGGCCTATTTACAGATCTGGCCCCTGGAATTGATGGCCCTGTAGCAAAGCGATGCATTTCTCGCCGCATGTGTATCCACAGAGACACAACACACACACAAATGCTCCCAGGTCACCGTCATGCCTTCAGGATGCATCAGTTTCTCCCGTGCGCTAATCGCCATCGTTTAGTGCGAGCGAACAATGAAGCACCGCTCGAACCTTTTTGGAGCTGCATCCCAGGGAATAGACGGGGTGACTTTGCCTCTGTGCTCCTTGGCGCGGCAGGAGGCTTTTGTCCCCACCGCGAGCCTTTATTTCTTTGCTATAATCTCCCAAAGAAAAGCTTTTTTGCCATGTTGGGCGATATTATTCCAGAGTCAGCCTACTTTCACGAGTGAGATCAATGAGACCGTCAGCTGCATGTGGAGCTTGTGAGGCTAGGGGAGAAGGACTTCGCCTACTGATGCTCCCCACATTGTGGTCATAGCCTCATGTTCCCTGAGATGCATAGGGGGAGGATGACCATCTCCAGAGGCCCTGAGCACTCCAAGCTGCTAGGATTTATATTTGACCTTAAAAGCTCACATCTGGCTTCCAGAGGATCAGAGAAAACATGGCTGAATCGCAAAGGCTGGTCACTGCAAACACAGGGAAGCTGCTTTTTACTGAATCAGACTATTGGTCCATCTAGCTCTGTGTTGTCATGGAATCCCCAGGGACCCAACAGGTCATCTAGTCCAACCCCCTGCAATGCAGGAATCTCAGCTAAAGCATCCCAGACAGATAGCCATCCAACCTCTGCTTAAAAACCTCCAAGGAAGGAGAGCCCACCACCTCCCGAGGGAGACCATTCTATTGTTGAACAGCTCTTACTGTCAGAAAGTTTTTCCAGATGTTTAGTTTTCCAGATGTTTAGAGGGTCGAGTTTGCCTATGCCTGTTCTAAAAACTGGCTAAAAAGCAGAGGAGGGGGGATTGCAGTAGTAGTAGTAGTAGTAGTAGTAGAAGAAGAAGAGTTTGGATTTGATATCCCACTTTATCACTACCCGAAGGAGTCTCAAAGAGGCTAACATTCTTCTTTCCCTTCCTCCCCCACAACAAACACTCTGTGAGGTGAGTGGGGCTGAGAGACTTCAAAGAAGTGTGACTAGCCCAAGGTCACCCAGCAGCTGCATGTGGAGGAGCGGAGACGCGAACCCGGTTCACCAGATGACGAGTCCACCGCTCTTAACCACTACAACACACTGGCTGACACCTACTGCAGAGGTGAATTTAGGGCAGCATGGCTGGTTCCACCACACAGGGCACCAAGAGTTGGAAGGGACCCAGAGGATCATCTATCCAACCCCCCGAAATGCAGGAATATGCAGCTGTCCCATACGGGGATCAAACCTGCAGCCTTGGTGTTATCAGCACCATACTCACCAACAGAGCTATTCAGAATCCTGCTTGGGGGAAGAGGCATGCCGAGGCTCCCTTGCACCCTTGGGCAAGGAGATGTTGGCCACCCAGAGAAGCAGCTTGTAGCCACTCTGAACCAGAGGGGTGTGATTTGTGTGCCCTTGGCAGCGGCAACCTAGCCAACCCCTAGGTGCAGCCTTCCTTGGGGGCATACCACAGACATCTGGACTACATGAATTTTGGGTCTGATCCAGCAGCAAGCGTCTTCTTTTTTCTTATCTATCCCTTTTAGAACCTTGAACAGCAGAGGAAGGAACTTGGGGGGCGGGGGCTGGTCCGGATCAAGCCTCTGGTGCCGAGGTTGTGCAGGGAGGGGTTAACACTTACATCTACGATGACCCTCCCCCCCACACACCAATTTGATACTGAAGAGAAGATCCAATTTGAGTCCAGCAGGTGAAAGTCAAAAGGTTGGGGTTACATTGCAGGCCTGTCCTACTCAAGAGTAGACCCATTAAATGAATGGATCTGCTAGCCACAGCCATTCACTCTAAAGACTGCGCTGAGTAGGATTAATACTGAAGCATCCCGCGGAGCTGCCTATAGGGAATGACACGCACGCGCGCCCTACTCTGAGTGGGACTAACATTCGATGCACATCCCACGGAGTCGGGCCACCTGTTGGATGAGAGACGGAGCAGGCGGCCTGGTCACAGAGTCCGACCCTTAACTACTGCCACGCACCCCTCTTCCTTAAAAAGGTTCGCTAGGCTCGCCGGCGGCTCTCGAGCGCCGGGCCTCTCCGCGCAGCCGTCGGACTCCAGCGCCCTCCAACGAGCGCCCCGGGCGGAAAGGTCACGCCGCCTCTCCTGGGAAGCGCGAGAAGAAGCCGCCCGCCGAGGCCGAGGCCGCGAGAGGGCAAAGGAAGGGGGAGGCGTCGGCAGCCAGCGGAGAGAAGCGGCGGCAAAGGCGCTCTGCCGTGCGCAAAGGCTCGCCGTCGGGGGGTGCGAGAGAGCGCACAGCCTTCGGGGCGTGCGCGCTTCCCGCCGCCCTTGCGGGCGACCTGCCGTCGGAGCGAGAGGAGAGAGGCAGACAGACGGGAGCCAGGCAGGCGAGTGACTGGGGGCGGAGGGAAGGGGGCTGGCTCGAGGGGAGGGGAGGCGAAGGGGTGGCTCAGGGGTAGGGGAGAGGAAGGGACGGACTCTTGGCCCCGGCGCCTGCTTCCTTCCCTCCTCCGAGGGGGCGTCCCCTCTCCTCTACCCCTCCAGCTTCCTGCGCGGGGAGGGCGGTCGGGGATCTCCTCCTTTCTCTCGACGGGAAGCTGCGCAGAGGTGCAGCCGCCGGTCGGGCTAGCGGCTTTCCAAATATAGCACGTGCGCCTCGCGCGAAAGGGAAAGTGTTTGCGTGGGGGTGAGGGGGTTGCGATTGCACGCCCCCTTTCGCTCCTAGGTCCGAGAATCTCGACCGTCGACTCGGAATTTGAGGTGGGGGTGGGAGGAGGAGGACGGGGGAAGGGGCAGAGAGCGGTCTGCGTGCGTGCTGGCTTCCCATAGCAACCCAGCTTTGAACGCCCCCCACATCATTCCTCGCTTTTTCCGGGGGGGGGGGCGCGAGGATCAAATAGGGCTAAATTGTCTGAGAGAAGGGGGCGGGAAGCTTTTATCCCCCGCTTCTAAATAGCCCAATAAAAGATTATTTTTGTGGGGGGTGGGATTTGGGTTCCTGAACCTTCCTGGTTATGGATTTAGTTTGCAAAGGGGGGGGGGGGGCGAGCTTGCGTTAAATCCACGTCTGCAGTGCTATATGGCTGCTGGTTTCTAAGGCTGTGTGCAAACTATGAAGCATAATAGAATCACATTTCTTTTGCGCTCTCAAAGAATTGTGGGTGCTGTGGTTTGCTAAAGGTTGCTGGGGATTGGAACTCTGTGAGGGGGAAACTACAGTGCCCAGAATTCTTTGAGGGCGGGGATGTGCTTTGAATGTGCTCTTAAAAGTATAAGGTAAAGGACCCCTGGATGGTCAAGTCCAGTCAAAGGCGACTATGGGGTTGTGGTGCTCATCTCGCTTTCAGACAGATGGAGCTGACATTTGTCCACAGACAGCTTTCCGGGTCATGTGGCCAGCAGGACTAAACTGGAACACCGTGATGGAAACCAGAGTGCACAGAAATGCATTTACTTTCCTGCCGCAGTGGTACCTATTTATCTACTTGCACTCGCGTGCTTTTGAACTGCTATGTTGGCAGAAGCTGGGAAAGAGCAATGGAAGCTCACCCCATCACAGGGATTCAAACCGCCGACCTTCTGATCGGCAAGCCCTAGGCTCAGTGGTTTAACCCACCTTCAAATATCTGAAGGGCTGTCACATGGAAGATGGAGCAAGCTTTTTTTTCTGCTGCTCCGGAAGGGAGGATCACAACCATTGGATTCAAATGACAGAAAAGGAGATTCCAACTAAATGTTAGGACGAAGTTTCTGATGGTAAGAGCTGTTGTACAGTGGATCGGGCCACCATGGAAAGTGGTGGGCTCTCCTTTGTCAGGGGCGAAACGAGGCTTTATTCTGCCGGGTCAAAGACCCAATTTGGCACCCCTCCTTTACATTTACACTGGTACCTGGGGTTAAGTACTTAATTCGTTCCAGAGGTCCGTTCTTAACCTGAAACTGTTCTTAACCTGAAGCACCACTTTAGCTAATGGGGTCTCCTGCTGCTGCTGCGCCGCTGGAGTACGATTTCTGTTCTGATCCTGAAGCAAAGTTCTTAATCTGAAGCATTATTTCTGTGTTAGCGGAGTCTGTAACCTGAACCGTATGTAACCCGAGGTACAACTGTACATACAAACACACACAGGCTGGGAGCCTCAATGGTGTCCTCTGGAGGCTTCACCCAGGGCAAATAAACCCCCACCCCATAGCTACAGCACTGCCTTCACTGGAGTTTTTTTTAAAAACACAGGTTGGATGGCCACTTGTCACGGATTATTTGGTTGTGATTCCTGCATTGTGGGGGTTGGACTAGATGAGCCTTCGGACCCCATCCCATTCTACAGTTCCATGAAATGCAGGGAATACATAGGAAAGATAAACAGGGCTGTCTTGGGTTCTTGAGATTCCCCACACTGCTATAAGCCTGATCCTTTTGTTCTGCAAACTGTAGGAAGCCTCTGTGCCCTATCTCTTAGTTTTTCTTCTCTACAGGAAAAGGTGGGGCTCCTGACTTCTCTCTGTGAATGCGGCCTATGCAGGCAGTGAGTGACTTACCCTTTCCTACCTCATGTATTCAAAATGCTTGAGCCTTCCTAGCAGGGGGTGTGGTTTCCATTTCTATAGATTCCCCCGGGGACTTTAGAGACCTCTTTTTTTTGCTGGTGGGATTAAAACCCGCCTAGTGGGGGTGTTGTTGTTAAGGAGAGAGAGAGTGACTCTTAGGCAGGGGGAAAGGAACAGCTGTGATTCACATCAGGAGCAACGTGGTTTGCTGAGAAACAAGCAAAGTAGCAGCAGCAACAATGGGAGATCGTGGGAGGAGAACTGGTTGTAATGTAAAGGACGGGTAGCTTAGGCGGTAGAGCACGAGACTCTTAATCTTGGGGTCCCAGGTTCGAGTCCCACATTCGGTGAAAAATTTCTGCGTTGCAAGGGGCTGGACTTGATGACCCTGGTGGTCCTTTCTAACTCTACAAGTCTGTGACTCTGTGAGGCAGAGGCGGGTCTGGCCGATCTTTTGTTTCCAACCTACACTTAACACAGGGGTGCCCAACTTGGGGGGGGTGTTCGTTCACCCCCCAGGCAAAGAAATGATTGAAGGGATGGAACGACACCCCTACAAGGAAGGGCCGAAGCATTTGGAACTTCTTAGAGAAATGGAGACAAGATAGAATTTTTTTTTAATGATGGAGAAAGCAGAAAGAGAAAAGTTTTTTCCCTCCCTCTCTCCTAACATGAGAACTCATGGACAGTTGAACGTTGGGAGCAGAGCTTTTCAAACTTTTCATGTTGTTGACACACTTTTTAGATGTGCTAAGTTTCGCGACGCAGTTTTACTAGCAAGCGGGAGGTTAAAGGGGTAGAGGGACCCCTGACCATTAGATCCAGTCGTGACTGACTCTGGGGTTGCGGCGCTCATCTCGCTTTATTGGCTGAGGGAGCCGGCGTACAGCTTCTGGGTCATGTGGCCAACATGACTAAGCTGCTTCTGGTGAACCAGAGCAGCGCACGGAAACGCCGTTTACCTTCCTGCCAGACTGGTACCTATTTATCTACTTGCACTTTGACGTGCTTTCAAACTGCTAGGTTGGCAGGAGCAGGGACTGAGTCATGGGAGCTCACCCCGTTGCGGGGATTTGAACCGTGACCTTCTGATCGGCAAGTCCTGTGGTTTAACTAACCCTTTTCCAGCCCCGGGAGGAACGCACCTGCACACTGCAGCCGACACACTAATGTGCCACAGCACACAGTTTGGAAAGCTCTGGTTGGGAGAGTCAGGACAGAAAGGACTTTTTCATGCAGTGCACAGTGGAACTCTCTGCCACTGGATGGCCACCAACCTGGACGTCTTAAAAAGGAGATAAGACAAACCCATGGAGGATGAGGCAGCTCATGGCTACTAGACATGGTGGGTGTGTTTTACCTTTGCTGTCAAAGGCAGTACAGTATGCCTCTGAAAACCAGTTTGCTGGGAATTGCAGGGGATGTAACTGACTGTGTTCTTAGATAAATAAGGAATACTATTCATTGTATCAAATTTCAACAGAAGTAACTCATAAAGTTCAACAAACGAACAAAGCAGAAGACCCAGTGGATCAGATCATTCTCTAGTCAGTTTGCGCTTGTCCATATAACCCTACTTTGTAACAGTTGCTGCTTACCACAGCTACTACTATGCCATAAGATCCACTGTCTTGTAATATCACATAGGTGTGTACAGATATTTATTGTTTGATATTATTGTTGCTGTAAGATGTGAGATCATGATATTGTATTTATTTGCATTACTTAGTGCTTTAACTACTGATGAATCCCAGGACGGTGAAACAAGGCCAATATTCCAGAAATCCTTGTCTAGACTCTGTGAAAGGATTTTGTGGAACTGTAACAACCTTTCATGTGGATTGTTTGGACTTTATGAACAGACAGGTGGAATAGACACCATTACACGGATGGACCTTATGCATGAACTGACGTGTGTTTATTGAGGATGCTTTACGCGACCATAGGTTTGTTTGTTGCTGTTTTGGGAATTGCAGGGGGGGCAGAATGCTGTTCTGCTCAGGTCTGGCTTGCAGGCATCTGTTCAGCCACTCGGAGAACAGGATGCTGGACTCGGTGGGCCACTGGCCTGATGCGTCGGGCTGTTCTTATGCACATTTGCCTATGTACCAGTAGATACGTGAGAAGCCGAGTTAAACCTCATGTTGTAACTAAGCATCCTCTGCCTCTGCTCCATGCTGTCATTTAGCTTGTGTGCAAATCTGGCTCTTCTCCAGCTTTGCACCTGGACCTGCCTCCTACAATTTATCAGTTTTGCTTAGGAGCTTCAAATGCCTCCTCAAAGCCCACCTTTTGGCACACCATCAGGGATGGGGAATGTGCGCTGATATTTCAGGTGGGGAATCCGCTTCCTGCCAGGGCCTGTGTTCCATCAGGCATTCCATCTGGGGCCAGGATGCGTGCCTATGCTTGGTAGGGCTGGGGCAAGAAACAAAGAGGAAGGGCCATAACTCATTTGATGGATGTGTAGAAGATCCCAGGTTCAATCCCCGGCGTCTCCAGATAGGGCTGGGAATGTCCCCTGCCTGGAGAGTCGCTGCTGGTCAGTGTAGACAATACTGGCCTAGATGGGCTAATGGTCCATAAGGCAGATTTCTCTGTTCTATGTTACTGATGCGCAGGGTATGCTTCCTTTCTCTGTTTAAATTGCTGGTCTTTAAAGGCTAAATGGCCTGGATTCGGGGTCTCGGAGGCTGGTTGCTGGTCTCCTTGCATTATCTGGGTTTGGCAGCTCTTTTCATAGGTGAACCGTTTGCCATAGTTCTGAACTAGCAGAGGAAAATGGGTGATGCTGAAGATTTATTTAAAGCACCTGGGTATGAGAAAGAGACAGTGAGATTTTTATTTTTTTGAGCGGGGGGCGTCTTTGTCATTGGACCATAGCTCAATGAGAGAACACCTGTTTTGCATGTTCAACGTCCCAGTTTCATTCCCCAGCATCTTTAGGTAGGGCAGAGGGAGACCCCGTAGGTTGTGGACTCTCCTTCCTTGGAGGTTTTTAAGCAGAGGTTGGATGGCCATCTGACACGGATGCTTTAGCAGAAATTCCTGCATTGCAGGGGGTTGGACTAGATGACCCGTGGGGTCCCTTCTAACTATGATTCTATGATTCCTGACTTAAAACCTGGACTGCCACTGCTAGCCAGTCTAGACAATACTGAGCTAGATGGACCAAGGATCTGACTTGGTATAAGGCACCTTCCTACATTCCTATTTAAACCTGCCTTTAATTCAGAACGGTGAGGACTAGCAACTTCATTTTTAGGGAAGGAGTCATAACTCAGGGGGAGAGAACTTGCTTTGCATGCAGAAGTTCAATCCTTGGCTTCTCCAGGAAAGCCTAGGATTGTCCCCCACCCCTAAACCATGGAGTGCAGCTGCCAGTCAGTGCTGGCAACAGAGCTAGATGGACCAAGCCTCCAGCTTGATATCAGGCTGCTTCTGTGTTTCTAAAAGTGAGTGCCCTCCCTTCGTTCTTCCCCTCTCTCTTTTCTGCCACCCCTTTCCCCCTCTTGCTATCCGCAGGCGGGCTGGACCTCATGCGCAGGTCCCCCTGCTCTGCATATTAAATACGATTGTGATAATTGCAGGCAAGTTTCCCAGCACTGGTCCAGCTGTCTGGTTTCCAAAATCCAAATGGTCCCAAGATGCAGGCATCCAGATGTCTTGCTGGTGCTTCTCGTGTTCTTCATCCCTAGATGCCAGAGATGCTGTCTGAGGGGCATGCCTGCACACAGCCAGCCGGTGCGCCTTTTCTGAGAGCAGTTGACAGGGCGGGGTGTGATATTGGTGTGAGGATCACTGCTGGCGCTGCAAAGTGAAATCGCTGCTTTTCAGATCTCTGAGGGTGGGCTGTAGGAGAGTTTGCCTGCGGAATGAGGAATGGGGAATTCCATCCAAAACAGGCGGTTCTCCTTTGTTCTGCATATTTCAGGGAGTCTCCGGGACCCTCCCACTCTTTCTCCAGAGAAGCGCTGATCATGGTGCTCAGTGGTAATAATAATAATAAATTTTATTTATACCCCACCCTCCCCAGCCAAGACCAGGCTCAGGGAAGCTAACAACCAATAATAAAGACAAGTTGATTAAAATACAACTTAAAAAACAATCTCCGCAGCACCACGAACTGCTCTGGAGGTTCCCACTTCAGTTCGGGTCATTTCAGAGAGATCCTGCAAGCCTTTCTGAAGTGTTCTGCTTCAGTTCAGGATCCGTCCCAATCTGCTAGGAACCCCCTAACACCTGCCGGTTGTTTTGTATCATTTCTCTTGGGCAGGTGGGCTTTTGAGCTTTGTAAACTGTCTGGAGTGGCTTGCTGATACATGAGAGCCTAAAACAACCAGAACCCTCCTGCAGTTGTGCAAAGAGTGTAAGGCTGGTGGTCTCTGTGGGATCAAGTGTTGCTTTGGGAGAGAGAACTTGGAATCATCAAACTGCTATGTGTCAACTGTAGCTCAGGGATAGGAGGTCCCTGGTTCAATCCTTGAATCCCGCAGCTTTAAAAAGGAGGCAGTAAAACAAAACCCAACATTTTAAGGGGAGGAGGAAGCTCCAAACAGCTTCACTGTCCACACAACAGGAATAGTATAGACAGTTCCTACGGGAAGAGGCTAATCCCTAAGGATTGCAGAATCCTGCTCTCTTGGTGCAGAATTTGTAGCCAGAACTATCAAAGGCAATTGTCCCTGGTGGTATTAGGATTGAGGAATCCTCCCCCCCCCCCCATTGGTACCAGGAGGCAAGGAGGAAACAAGAAAGTTCTTAAGGTAAAGGTAAAGGGACCCCTGACCATGAGGTCCAGTCGTGACCGACTCTGGGGTTGCGGCGCTCATCTCGCTTTATTGGCCGAGGGAGCCGGCGTACAGCTTCCGGGTCATGTGGCCAGCATGACTAAGCCGCTTCTGGCGAACCAGAGTAGTGCACGGAAACGCCATTTACCTTCCCGCCAGAGCAGTACCTATTTATCTACTTGCACTTTGATGTGCCTTCGAACTGCTAGGTTGGCAGGAGCAGGGACCGAGCAACGGGAGCTCACCCCATTGTGGGGATTCGAACCACCGACCTTCTGATCAGCAAGTCCTAGGCTCTGTGGTTTAACCCACAGCATCACCCGCGTATGATTTATTCAGTCATCACTATAAAAGACAAATAATTCCGGTCATTCCTCCGTAACAGAGTTGCTCGCACTGAGCTCCTCCCTCTCCCCCCTCTAGCAACAACACCTGCTTCTATGGCATCTGTCCGTGGACAACTGTCTCTGCGCTATTTGTTCTTGCACCCTTAATGAACGCCGTGTTTTGGGAGAAGGGGGGTCAGTTATGCTGTCCAGAGATGTGTCTCTGCCTGC